CAGGGAGAGCCCGGAGGGGCGGGGGAGGCGGCCCCGGGCCCTGGGAGGGGGAGGGGAGCGCCGCCGCGGAGGCTGCCCAGGCGGAGGGTCAGGGGGGCGGTGGCCGCGGAGCGCAGACCCCAGCGGGGCCAGGAGGGGTGGAGCCGGCGGGCTGCGGGCAGGGGCGGGGCCAGGGGCGGAGCTGGGGAGCCAGCCAGCTCCGGTGGGGAGAGAGGGCGGAAGGCGGAGGGCGAGGGAGAGGGGAGCGGTGCAGGGACCGCTGCCAGGGAGGCTGTCGGGGAGGGGTGGGGGGGTGGGAGGGGAGTCTGCGGGAGGATGGGCAGGGGAGCCGCAGGAGAGGGAGCCGCCGTGGGGGCTTGGAGGGCAGGGTGTCAGGCCCTCGGAAAGCCCCGCGGGGGAGGGGCGATGGTCTTGAGGTCGGGTTCTGGGGTGATGCTGTCAAGAGCTCTTTCCTGCCTCCGGGGAGGACCCTCCTCCGAGGGCCTCCCCAACCCGCGGCCCCAGTAGTGATACCTCCGGCCCCCCCAACCCCACCCCAGGCTGGCTCCTGTTTCACCAGCTCCTGCGATGACAACTGGAGTGCCGAAGAGACGAAGTTCCCCGCTCCCCACCTCAGGTCTCCCACTCTCCACCCTCTCCCCAGAGAGCCGGTGGATTCCTGACACCCCCAGGCAAGGGCCCTGGGGAGGAGGGGGTGGTGGTGGGGAGAGCTGATGGGCTGGTGCTGGACCCCAGAGACCTGCAGGTGAGGGTGAGAAGCTGATTTCCAGAGCTGACCCCGAGCTTAGCGTGCAGAAATGGCTTCAGCGCTTCTCTTCACCTTCAAAGGCGTCTGTTTTCTGAAACCCATGGTCCCTCAACTCCCTCACCGTCCCTGAGGACACCCCCTTCGGAGCCCCTGGGGCTAGCTTATGGGAAGAAGTTGGGCAGAGCCAGGGCCCAGGTGGAAGCTGCAGAGGAGAATCTGAACAAGGATGTATGTTCTCCTTAGGGTCCGTGGCCGGATCCCAGGAGGAGTCACCCTGGGTTGCCATGAGAGAGAACTTGGAGGCCCTCAGCTCCCTGGGTAAGTGGGTAGAACTGGAGGAACCTGGGTGGGGGGCAGGGAAGTAGGAGGCTTCAAGGGCATACCGCGCCTGTTGTTGTTCAGTCGCCCAGTCGTGTCTGACTCTGCGACCGCATGGACTGCAGCACACCAGGCCTCCCTGTCCCTCACCATCTCCCGGAAGTTTGCCCAAGTTCATGTCCATTGTCCGTGAAGGGAGATGGCCCTTCACGGATCACTGCCTTGTCGTGGCAAAGGGGCTTGCGTAACACAGTGAAGCTATTAGCCATGCCCTGCAGGGCCACCCAAGACGGATGGGTCATAGTGGAGAGTTCTGACAAAACGTGTGATCCACCGGAGGAGGGAACAGCAAACCACCCCAATATACTTGCTGTGAGAACCTCATGAACTGTATAAAAAGTTACCAGGCCTGCTGCTTCCCTAATTCAGACTGTAGAGCATCCCCAGGAGACTGCGACCCTGATAGCCCTGAGACCCTGGGGGCCTTTAGGGCAGCATCCTTTCTGGTTTCATCACAAAGACTGCCTGCCTGGTCCATGCTAGAGGTTGTGCTAGTACTAACAGAACACCAGGATAGTTAAATCTATTTTCTCTTTAAATCTATTCATCTCTGTCCTTGACTCGATGTAAGGCATCTAAAGTTGATATTTGGTCAGGTTGCTAGGTCAGCTGGTTGTCCCTTGTCCATGCTGGTTAGAGACCTCACTTTCCTTAACTCCCCAGGGAAAACTCTTTAGGCCTGGGAAGGGGAAGAGCCACCATCTTGGATCACCTCTTCTGTATGACATGCTTGACGTGCACCCATCCTTTTGCCTGTAACAGGACTCTCTGTGGGACAGCCGGAGATGACCCCCCAAAGTGAGCCTGGGGAAGGGTCCCATGACGCCCAGGAGCGGATGTCCCCTCCCCGGGAAGAAAGAGTGCTGGGTACATGCTCAGGTAAGTGGGGACCGCGGAAGCTGGCTCAGGACGAGTCTTCCTTCCTCTGTTCGTCAAGTATTTATTGAGCACCTACTAAGTGCCCCAAGCTATTCTAGATACTTGGGATACCTCAGTGACCAAGGAGACAAAAGATCCCTGCTTTCCAGGAGCTTAATCCTAGTGAGGGCGGAGGACTAGCAGACAACAAATGTAGGAATAAATGCACTTATAGCCTGGGTTAGAAGAGTCTTTGCGGGTGGGGCAGGCAGGAGGATTGAATAGAGGGATGAGAGTCAGCCTCATCGAGAAAGTAAGATTGAAAAGGGTGGCTAAGCAGATACGGGGAGAAGAAGCCTAAAGCAGGTGTGGACCTGGCCTTCTGACGTCCCCATCTTCTCCAGTGATTTGCCTGGAAACAGGTCCATCTGGTAGCTAGGAGGTTCCCCATCTCTCCTCCTCAGGCCTCTTGGAAGCCTCAGGTCAGGGACCATCCTTACTTCCACTCTCTTACACACACATGTTCCAGAAGCCCCTCACACTTGTGGCTCTTGCAACCTGCATGGCCTGGGGTGGCTGGGAATTTAGCCCCTCCAGGTTTGATGTGGAACCACTCCTGCCTGTGGGGCTGGGGCCGGGGTTTCAGAAGCCCCTGCCTCCTGGCACCAGGGGGGACCTCTCTCCATCTCCAGCATCCTTGAGGTAGCCTGTTCTCTGCCAGGGCACGAGGCCCCCAGACCGGAGAAAGGTGCCCACACGGAACAAGCTGAAGCTCCCTGCAGAGGAGGCCAGGTGTGTGCACCGTGCAAGCCTGAGCCCATGGGCTCCTGCCCAGGTGAGTCTTCCCAGCAGTCCATCCCACCAGGGGGCCAGGCGGAGGGAACAGGGGTGTGCAGGCACCCCTGGGCCTTCCAACCCAAGATGAATCAGGCCCTGCCACCTTTCTACTATAGAGCTTCAGCACCCAGCAGGAATTCTGCATCCACAGACAACAGGAATCTGAAAGACTGGTCACCAAAGAGAAATACACTGTCACTTCAACATCTTCCAGAAGTCTTACCTTCCCATTCTCTCTCCCCCAGTCTGTTGACAGCTTGAAGTATGATTCCCACGAAGATACGTGGTGTCGATCAACCTTTTCATTGTCGATCCCCACACCTGCTCCCTCCCCCAAATCTCCACTGACCTTGGTGCTACCCAGATGAGCTGTTGTATTTGACGCATGTCCCCCGTATCCATGATGATCAAACAGTTGGTTCCCTCCACAATCCTACCCATCACTTCCTTCCACCACCACCAGCCTTATCACCTCTTCCCTGAGTGATGTCACCTTTTCCACAAGGGCTTATTTGGTGCCCACTCGGGCTAGGCTGTGTTAGGTAGAGCAGATAGAGATGCGCTGTAGAGTGACGTGGTCCTGGTTCGAATCCCTGCTCCACGTTTTGTAGCTGAGTGATCCTGAGGCTACAGGAGCCTCAGTGTGTTCACAAGGAAGAAGGCTAACTTCTGCACAGGGGTTTGGGTGAAGGTTTGTGAGTGTGTACACACAGTTTCTCATCTCCAGTTGGCTGTCAGTACATGGTAGCAATCCTCACGCTGTCTGCCCTCCAGAAACTGAAATCTGATACCAGTATGAGCTAGAATAAAGAATGAGAAGAACAAATAATGAAAGCTTTTGTTGATTTGTGCTCCATGTTGAGACAGGTGTAGACTTCAACTCGGATGAGGCTGGAGTGGAGGATGGGAAGACATCCTAGACTTAGAAGTAGGAGGTTGATGTATTAATAACTGGGGTTATAGGAGACCAGCTTGCCTGAAGTGAGGGATTTATGCCTGGGAGTATTAGGAGAGTTGACTGGGTTGGGGTGAGCCTCAGATGCAGCTAGAACAGACTTTATCCTCTCAGAAATGCGAAGCTATTGATGGTTCTTTGGTAGCAAAGTGGCACAAAGAAAATGAAAGTGATATCACAGTATGATAAAGAGCTGTTTGAAAGGGATGGATCAATCGGTAAAAGAAATGGGAGGAAATCTAATTGTGATAATTCAAGCCCCAGGCTATTACAGACTTTGAGAGCCAGACAGGACCTCCAATCATCTGGTTCCAAGGCTGTCAAACAAGAATCACTTTGGGAGCTTGAAAGAAAGAGAACAGCTTCACAGGCCTGGGTCCCCTAGATGCACTTAGTCAAAGTTCTCCAGGAGATTATGAAGTGGCACCAGATTTAGACACCATGAACTGGTCCAATGCTTATACCTAAGCAAGCTAACAAACTCAATTCAAAGAAAACTCAAAGAGATTAAGTGAGTCAACTGTGGTCACACTGCTGCTTAGTGGCAGAGAAAAACCCAAATGGACCCTCTCAGTCTGGGTCCTGAACTCCTTCCTCTTGGCTGGGTCATCTCTGTGCCCAAGAAGGGCAGAGCGCCAGGGGAACCTGTCTCAAACCTGCCTCCCCCAGAAGGCCCTCCATGCTTTCCAGAGGTTGGCACCATCCATTGGTTCCCCAAATCCTGTAAGCTCAATCCTCTTCTTAAACCGGGATTTCCCACCTGGCTCTAGAAGTGAAGGGAGTAGGAGCAGGGAGGAGCCTTTGAGAAACCACAGGAAGGAATGCAAAGGTCTCTATGGCCACTGGCGAGGAGTTAGAAGATCACCTGGAGAAGGGAATGGCAACCCACTCCAGTATCCTTGTCTGGAGAATCCCATGGACACAGGGGCCTGGCGGGCTGTACAATCCCCAGGGTCGCAAAGAGTCAGACACTGAGCGACTAACACAGAAACAAGGTGAGTGTAAAGGCCAGCCCACAGAAGGAGGCTGTAGACGGAGTAGATCCAGGAAGGTGGGGTGTTTGCTGATAAGCCTGCTGAACTGCAGTTGATTCACAGGGCACAAAGGGGAGTTGCTTGTCTGCAGATGGGAGACTGTGGTTCCAGAAAGGAGTGGGCTGGACAGCAAGATGGGGATGGCCCCCATTCCCGTGGGCCTCTGAGCCCTCAGAGTGAAAGCTGAAGACTGAACCCTGAGTGAGGGTAAAGGATGTCCACCATAGAGGCAGGGTCTCGTTAAGGAGGCAGGCAAGCCTAGGAGAAAGCACCCGCTGGCTTGGAGAGCCCAGGAGGACTTTCGGTGGCCCTCCGATTTGGACATTCCCAGGAACTTTCCAGTGGAAGGAGCAGGAGCTAGGCTTAGGGGCTCCAGGAAGTGGTGGTCCTATTGGCAAACAAACAGATCAGGTGAAAGTCACTCAGTCCACTTTTTGCGACCTCATGGACTATATATGGAGAATGTGGAATTCTCCAGTATAGAATGCTCCTGGAATGTGTAGCCTTTCCCTTCTCCACGTGGATCTTCCCAACCCAGGGATTGAACCCAGGTCTCCTGCATTGCGGACGGACGCATTCTTTACCAGCTGAGCCACAAACGTGGGGTTTAACAGACTCGTCTTGTTTTGCCCTTTCAGGGGATGAGTGGATGATTCGGAAGGTGAAGGTAGAGAAGGAGGAGGATCGGGACGCCCACGAGGAGGCGGAATGGCCCCAGCATCTGGCATTACGCCCCAGCCCCTTTCCCCCGCCGGACCTGGGGTCTCTGGCCGCCGCGTATAAGCTGGAGCCGGGGGCCCCAGGGACACTGGGTGGGCTTGCCCTGGCCGGGTGGGTCCCGACCGCCTCGGAGAAGCCCTACGGCTGCGGGGAGTGTGAGCGCCGGTTCCGGGACCAGCTGACCCTGCGGCTACACCAGCGGCTGCACCGCGGCGAGGGCCCGTGCGCCTGCCCCGACTGCGGCCGCAGCTTCACGCAGCGCGCGCACCTGCTGCTGCACCAACGCAGCCACCGCGGCGAGCGGCCCTTCCCCTGCTCCGAGTGCGACAAGCGCTTCAGCAAGAAGGCGCACCTGACCCGCCACCTGCGCACGCACACCGGCGAGCGGCCCTACCCGTGTGCCGAGTGCGGCAAGCGCTTCAGCCAGAAGATCCACCTGGGCTCGCACCAGAAGACACACACAGGCGAGCGGCCCTTCCCCTGCCCCGAGTGCGAGAAGCGCTTCCGCAAAAAGACGCACCTGATCCGCCACCAGCGCATCCACACGGGCGAGAGGCCCTACCAGTGCGCGCAGTGCGCCCGCAGCTTCACGCACAAGCAGCACTTGGTGCGGCACCAGAGGGTGCACGCGGCGGCCGGCCGCACCCCTCCCTCTCCCGACGCGCCCGCCTCGCCCACGTCCCCTGCCCCGTCCCCCACCCCGTCCCCTGCCGGCCCCAAGCCTTTCTCCTGCTCCCACTGCGGCCTGAGCTTCGGCTGGAAGAAGAACCTCGCCACGCACCAGCGCCTGCACAGCGGCGAGGGGCGCCCTTTCGGGTGCGACGAGTGCGCTCTAGGCGCCCCTGTGGACCCCGCGGCCCCCGAGCCCTTGGCCTGCGCGCCCCGAGGCACACCGGCGCTCCCGGGCGCTCCGGCCGGCGAGCGGTCCTTCCTCTGCCCCGAGTGCGGGCGCAGCTTCGCCCACGGGCAGCACCTGGCGCGACAGCGGCGGGTCCACACGGGCGAGCGGCCCTTCGCCTGCGCGCAGTGCGGCCGCCGCTTCGGCTCGCGGCCCAACCTGGTGGCCCACTCCCGGGCGCACAGCGGCGCCAGGCCCTTCGCCTGCGCGCAGTGCGGCCGCCGCTTCAGCCGCAAGTCGCACCTGGGCCGCCACCAGGCGGTGCACACAGGCAGTCGGCCCCACGCCTGCGCCGTGTGCGCCCGCAGCTTCAGCTCCAAGACCAACCTGGTCCGCCACCAGGCGGTGCACACGGGCTCCCGCCCCTTCCCCTGCCCGCAGTGCGGCAAGAGCTTCAGCCGCAAGACCCACCTCGTGCGACACCAGCGCGTCCATGGAGGAGCCGCCCACCCGGCCTCCGGAGCTGACCTCTCGAGCCCAGCCTGGCCCACTCCCACCGACGTGGCCGCACCCGCGCTCTTCTTCTGAGCTTCGTTCTAGCCCGCACCCGGGCTTTCCCTTCGTTTGCTCCCTGGTTCCAGAGACCCATGCCGGACATCTGGGCATCGTGGCCTGGATTGCCCGTGGCCATTTTCCTCTCTTCTCCATCCTGCGGGGAGAAAGCCTGGAAAGGATACCCGGCTTTGACCTTCTGTGTCAGAGACAGGGCTAAGAGTAAACCCTTGATGGGAACAGTTTAGGCCTGAGTCCTTGGAAATGTCCCACTAAGAGAGCCCATGGAAAGATGATGTTTCCTGGACCACTCCCAACGGAGGACTGAGTCAGGAACCTCTACAGGGGCAGGGAAAGAATGGCCATCTGTATACTGAAGGTTTCATTAAAATTACAATCCGAAGGTTCTGGGGCTGTGGAATGAGTTGGGGATGGAACCCCTGACTTTTCTCAGCCACCCTTTTCTACCTTAGTACACACACAGACACCCCTTCCCATCCTATCTGGGTGAGTTCAATTTAGCCAGCTGCCAATAATGGGCTTTCTCAAATCAAAATATGATACAGCTAATTGCTGAATCGCTGTCTTGCTCCCTGACCTTAGCTCAAATCTGACAAGGAGGAAACATCAGTATACATTTCTCATGCCAGGGGTTGAAGGTTAAACTGTAAGGAAGACGAACAGAGGAAGCAGGGTGCCCCTGGCTGTTCCCATGGAGACGGGGTGCCACCGAAGTTTCTGGAGCTCCAGGGCTCTCTGCCTGGGTTTGCAGCTCTCCCAAGGGGATCTCAGAACAGCAGCCCCACCTGCCACTCTGCCTGCAGCGGGGGCGGGGGGGGGGGGGGNGGGGGGGGGGGGGGGGAAGGACGTGAGTGACAGATGAACTTTCCTGTAAGTTTTCTTTATGTTGGTGGCTTGATCCAGACATCTCTAGCTGAGCTGCCCCAGCTGAGGCTGACAGGAGAGCTGACTGACCGGAAAGGGTAGGATGATGGGGGAGTGTGTTGGACTTGGAGTGAGAAGTCTTACAGTTGACTTTGCCTCAGTCTCTTTAGGACTTGGAGCAGAGCCCTATGTTTTCCTGGGTCTCTGCTTTCTCCTTACACTAAGATTGTTGATGTCGATGAGGGCTGAGGCTTTTTTCCAATTCTAACGTCACTATCCGCAAGATAGCACTCATGGTGAAGAATCTGCCTGCCAATGCAGGAGACATGAAACATGGGTTCGATCCTTGTGTAGGGAAGATCCCCTGGAGGAGGAAATGGCAACCCACTCCAGTATTCTTGCCTGGAGAATCCCATGGACAGAGGAGCCTGGTGGGCTACAGTCCATAGGGTCACAAAGAAGCAACTTAGCACAAAGGTTTCAGAATAACCCTAGCAAATATTTACTGGGTGCCAACATTGTGCCAGAGGATGAGATGGTTGGATGGCATCACTGACTCAGTGGACACGAGTTTGAGTAAGCTTGGGAAGTTGGCAATGGACAGGGAAGCCTGGCGTGCTGCAGTCCATGGGGTCCCTAAGAGTCAGACACGACTGAACTGAACTGAACTACTTTGTGCCAAGTCTTGCACTAGGCATGGGCAACAACAGTAAGCAAGAGCTTACAGGAAACAGGAGGACTGTGGGGCCAGGGCCAGCACAGAGGGCTTTGCGAGTGGCGCCCCAAATCTAGGAAAAGTCAAGAGAGGTTCACAGGTTGAAGACACCTCTAAAGTGAGCCCTGAAGGATGGGCGCACATAGCAAGTGACTAACTCCTCCTCCTGGTCCTTTTCTTGGGTTCCTACCTCTTTCTTATCCTGGTCTTGTAACCCGAGTTGTTTTAAATATGCAAGACCTGGGAGACCTTAGCTGGAAGCTAGCTGCACAGACATTCTGATGACTCTTGTGCTGGGGGAGGTGGAGAAAGGTGAAGAGCCAGGCTGCACTCCTGAGTCAGAGCACAGAGCACAGCTCCTCATGCCTGCCTGGGGCTTTGAGACTATCTCTATGGCTCAGCAGGCTCCGTCAAGCACCCACATCGGTGAAGAGGCATCCACCATTCCTAAGTTGTTGCCTTCCCACTTTGAGGAGGAGAGGAGATGGTCAGCTAAGGAGCCAACCTGCTGTGCTTTAAATATAGTTTCCCCCAGTATCTGAAAGTAGAGCGTTCCTATGAAATACAGCCCAAATTCACAATAACTACTATTATTATCACCATTTTATAGATGTGGAAACTGAGTACAGAGCAAGTAGGTCATTTGTACAAGGTCATTCCTTCCTTCCTTCATTCAACAAACATGCACTGAGTACCTACCTGTGTGTCCAGCATTGTGAGATGCTGGCAATAGGAATACTCTTTATAAACTAAAATGTGTTCAATACTTACTCTTCACTGCTGCTGCTGCTGCTACGTCACTTCAGTCGTGTCTGACCCTGTGCGACCCCATAGACGGCAGCCCACCAGGCTCCCCCGTCCCTGGGATTCTCCAGGCAAGAACACTGGAGTGGGTTGACATTTCCTTCTCCAATGCATGAAAGTGAAAAGGGAAAGTAAAGTCGCTCAGTCGTGTCTGACTCCTAGCGACCCCATGGACTGCAGCCTACCAGGCTCCTCTGTCCATGGGATTTTCCAGGCAAGAGTACTGGAGTGGGGTGCCATTGCCTTCTCCATACTCTCTTCACTAAGTACACTCAGTAAAGAGTACTTAGTACACTAAGTAAAGCCCTAAGTGAATCAAGGGCTTTACAAGTGTTGCCCTGTTTTTCTTCCCACCATCCTGTGAGTGGGCATCCTTGTCCTTGGTCAAGTTTTTCTCATGAGGTAAAAGAAGCTCAGAGAGTCCAAGTCACTTGCACAAGTGACACAGAATATGTGATGAAAGCCATGCAGTGGTTTGCTTCGCAAGCCTGTGTTTTAAAAAAATGGGGGGACTTCCCTGGTGGTCCAGGTGGCTCGGGGGGTAAAGAAATCTGCTTGCAGTGTGGGAAACTGGGGTTTGATCCCTGGATCAGGGAGCTCCCCTGGAGAGGAAATGGCTACCCACACCAGCATTCTTGCCTGGAGAATCCCATGGGAGAGGAGCTTGGTGGGCTACAGTCCATGGGGGCAAAGAGTCGGACATGACTGAGTGACTAACACTGGTGGTCCAGTGGTTAAGACTTCGCCTTCCAGTGCAGGGGTGTGCGTTTAATCCCTCTGCTCAGGGACCTACGCTCCCACATGCTTCAGGACAAAAAAAAAAAAAAACAAAAAACAAAACCCAAAACATAAAATAGAAGCAATATTGTATTTATAACAAATTCAATAAAGACTTTTAAATGATCCACATTAAAAAAAGCTTTATAAAAAAGCAAATTTTATGTTTGCATCAACAGTGCACAAGGGTTCCAATTGTTCCTAGCCAACACTGGCTGTTTTTTGCCATTCTAACAGGTATGCAGTGACCTCTCAGTGTGGTTTTGACTTTCATTCCCCTGTGTGTGTGTGTGTGTGTGTGTGAGTGTGATTTAGTTGCTCAGTCATGTCTGACTCTTGTGACCCCATGGACTGCAACCTGCCAGGCTCCTCTGTTCATGGGATTCTCCAGGCAAGAATACTGGAATGGGTTGCCATTTCCTTCTCCAGGGTATCTTCCCATCCCCAAGGATGGAACCTGGGTCTCCTGTGTTGCAGGCAGACTCTTTACCAACTGAGCTACGAAAGAAACCCTTCATCCCCCTAGAGCCTGTATTTTTCAGCACCAGACTCAGTCTCCTTGCAGAGAGGTCCCTCACCTTCCTGGTCTTCAGGGCATTCAGTGGATGGGTCTGGTGATCAGCATGCAGGGGACTTTTACACGAAGGGCCATGGGATGAAGGTGAAGAGCGACAAAGCACACGTGGAGGGTCGGGAGGGCTCTCTGAAACAGGGGTGACTCGCTGAGACCTCACCTCCTTGGACCAGCTCTCGGCACCATAGTCACCTTCACTCTCCCGACAATGAGTGTGTCTCCTGGGGGAGAAGAAGGGGCTTCTGCCCCAGGCAGCAAACCACTTTTGTGGGCAGACCCCTGCATAAAAGCAGGAAGCAACTGAAAGCAAGCTCGTGTATCAGTTACAAAATGTCCCCTTTCCAGAAGTGATGGTGAATTATGGAGTCACCCCGAGGTGGGGATGTGAAAGTCTGTGTGGAAGGGTGGCTGTCAGCTGGAACTGGCTTGTAATTAGGACAAGAGCCTGCATCACACGGGCTTCAGTGACACTATCCAGCACAGCCCATCTCCCAGCCCAGGATCTGAGAACCGCCTGACAGCGGCCTCCTGGCCTTGCCAGCCCGCAGGCCTCCCCACTGCACACACAGAGGAAAACTTAAAAGCCAAGTCTGTGCTAGGAACTCCTTCACCAAAGACACTGTGTTTCTTTCCTGGGACTGCCAGAATCAAGCCCCACGCACTGGAGGATGGAAAACATTTCTCCTCTCGGCTCTGCAGGCCAAAGTCCACAACCAAGGTGTGGGCAGGGCTGCGTTCCCTCCGAAGGTTCTGGCATGGGTCTGTTCCAGACCTCTCTCCCAGCTGCTGGAGTTGCCGGCAAGACTCGCTCTGCCTCGACTGTGGCTGCATCCGTCCAGCCACCGCCTCCTGTTTTCGCATGGCCTTCTTTCTCTCTGTCTGTCTCTGTGTGTGTCTTCTCTTCTTCTAAGGACGCGGTCCTAGTGGATTAGGGCCACCCAACATCCTCACCTGAACTCCATTGCATCTGCAGAGACCCAGTTTCCAGATAAGGTCACATTCACCGGCCTTAGGGGCAAGGACTTCAGCCTGTCTCTAGGGGACACATTTCTGTGCATCACAGGGACCTTCACGGAGATACTGTGCCAACCGTGGAGGAGAAACTGACACACAGGCTGGGAGGGGATGAGCTGGCTCCACCAAGGTGGGAGGGGGGCAGCGCTGCATGGTTCTGATCAAACTCGACTGGTCCCCAGAGCTCTTGCCTCCGGGTAACAGGCTGGGAAACGAGCTTTGGGGATGTGCAGTGGAGCGTTCCAACAGGCTAAACAATGATAACAAAGATGTCACTTTGAGTTCCTTGACTCTACAAGTGATTTTTTAAATTTATATTTTCTTACTTTTCTAACAGTAAAACAGCTTTGACATGACTGTAAACGAAGAGAAAGCACAGTTGACTTTTAGGAGACTGCAGGAGCAGCCAAGAAATGAGCGATCTTCCATCAAATGTGACTGTTTTGTTCAGTGTTTCTGTAAAGTCTGTGTGTGAGTGCATGTGTGTGTGTGTGTGCACTTGCATGCATGCACCTGTTCTACAGTTTATTTGTGGGGAGATATAAGATGGAGGAGCCCCATGGGGAGATGCCCCCTTGAGGGTAAGTGGGTTTGAATGGCTAGGTGTGCAGGTCAGACAGATGGGCTGAGATGGGAAGGTGCTTCTGGATGGCATTTTGAGGAATAGAGGATGGTCAAATTGAAGTGGGATGAACTGGTCTCCCACAGTGAATGTTTTTTCTGCCCCCTGAGAGCCAAGAACCCTCCTGGGAGCTGTGGTGGGGTGTGGCCTGTGGTCCCAGCATGGCAGACACTCTCCGGGAGGGAAGTGGTTACCAAAGGCTGGTGGAGACCTTCACCCTGCCTCATGGTGCGGAAGACAGGTTGCTCTGCCTGAAGGGTATTTCCTTAACCAGAGACACGTCCACATTCCACTATGCGAGACATCCTGTCCTTTCCCAGGGGTAGTAATTTGGGGAAATTCGGCTGCAGAGCGATGTACTGTGGCCTCAGTAGGAGGAGAAGCAGGGCTCTCAGAGAAAGGGGCCCTGGGGGTCCTCACGACAAGGCATTGCCGTCAGAGGGGGCTTGCCTGAAGGCTTTTAGGAAACACTTTCCCAACTGCTTGACAGACAACAGAGCTAGGGTCTAGGATGAGTACAGCCTCCTAGCAGGGACGCTCTTGGTCAAGATCAGGAACTGGATTGACGTCATAGACTGACGTAGAACGTCATTACGTAAAGTTCTTGGGGCATCGCAGTGGGTTCCGTTTCGGGCTCTCCGAAGGCCTGACTCCGCGGCCCGACAGCCCAGCCAGGCAGTCCTGCGTAGCTCAGAGTCCCCCCTTTTCCCTCATTGGGCTTTCTCCACTCAGGGTTTCTCTGGAGGGTTTTTAGGGCCCCCCAGAGACTCTGCCCTGTGGCCCAGCTTCCTCCCAGAAGGGCTGTATTTTGGTGGACAAGGCTAGCTCTTATCTAAGTGACCAGCCCTGGGATCCTCTCCTCCGGGACACGGGCCTGCGCATCCATACGCGCTTGCACTTCCCACCCCGACTGGTCCCCCTGCACATCTGCCCAAACCCAGGCTCACCCCCAAGCCCAGGCTTTCCGACCACCTGGACTACTGATTTCTCCTCCCATCAGGTCTGGCCTCCAGCTATACGCGAAGGTCCGTCTAGTCAAAGCTATGGTTTTTCCAGTAGTCATATATGGGTGTGAGAATTGGGCCATAAAAAAGGCTGGGCCCCAAAGAATTGATGCTTTTGAATTATAGAGCTGGAGAAGACTCTTGAAAGTCTTCTTGGACAGCAAGGAGATCAAACCAGTCAATCCTAAAGAAAATCAGTTCTGAATATTCATTGCAAGGACTGATGCTGAAGCTGAAGCTCCAATACTTTGGCCACCTGATAGGAAGAACGGACACTGGAAAAGACCCTGGTGCTGGGAAAGCCTGAAGGCAGGAGGAGAAGAGGGTAGCAGAGGATGAGATGGTTGGATGGCATCACTGACTCAGTGGGCAGGAATTTGAGCAAATTCCGGGAGATAGTGGAGGGCAGAGGAGCCTGGTGTGCTGCTGTCCATGCGGGTGCAAAGAGTCAGACAAAACTGAGCTACTGAATAACAACAACAATAAAACGTTCTGAGTGCTTATGTTGACCTAGGCTCTGAGTTAATTCTCCAAAGTCCCTTTGACTTATCCCCATTCCACAGGTAAGGAAATGGAGGTTTAGTGTGCTTGAGCGCTTAAGGATGTGAGGGCCTTGTCTCCCCAGGCCAGCTGGAGCAGCTCCAGGCCCACAAGGCTGTCTTGTGTACTATCTGGATTCCTGGACCCACCTCACTTGGTGCTTGTTGAGCTGTGTAGCTAGAAGAGGAGCGCACCCATCTGTTCTCTCCTGGAAGCTTTGGTGCCTAGAATCCACCTGATCAGTCAGAGCTTTGGCTAAGTCAGGGTAACAGCCAAAGCACAGATCCCGGACAGAGAATGAATATTCAGTGATCCATTTTCCCCTTGGCTGCCAGAATGCTTAAAGCTAAATTTACTGCTCAAGTGCCGCTCTCGGAGTCAGATGTCTGGTGTAGCTCACATACTTTACATTTTACTAGCTCTATGGTAACATATGGCCTTTGTTTGTTGTTCCTCCAGATGCTCTATACCTGCCATAGCAGATGAAAAGACAAGCACACAGACGAAGAGGAGAAAAGAGCCTCACTTGGCAGAGGGGACAGAAAGGGAAAGTAAGAATGCTGGTGTCGGAGGAGCCTGGGTATTTCCTAGACCAGTGGTCCTTAAACTTCTGTGGACCACCAAGCAGGTGGGTGAAATATTTGAAAACTCTCCCCAGAAAAATGTACATCAAAACAGCAGACTGGAGACTCCCCTGGTGGTCCAGTGGCTAAGACTCCAAGCTCCCAATGCAGGATCCCTGGTCTGGGAACTAGATCCCACATCTCGCAGCTAAGAGTTCGTATGCCGCAACTAAAGGTCACGTGTGCCACATCGAAGACCCGGCACCGTCACATAAATAAATATTTAAAACAAACAAAGCCAAGAATTTGCATGTAATTTCAGAAGGCATGTGGATCCTTCCACCCCCACCCAAGCCCACCCGTCACCTTCAGAGTCTCTGAAGCTCTGAAATGTTAACCCCTCATCCTGCACATGTAAGAACAGAGGCCTTTAAAAGGAGAGGGGCCCCTGGGGCTGAGGGTGGGAGGGAAGGAAAGATGGAATCTGCAGTTTTGCCAGGGCAGGCCCTGCTGGCAAGTATCCGATTCTCCCTGTGACCCTGGGCCTGGGAGCACCCACCCCAGGAGGAGCCTAAAGGTAACTGGGAAACCGTATGGGGCCAAAGGAAACACATCCCCAGCTCTGCAACCCCCTTCTTGTTCAGCAGGCTTGGGAGAGTGGGGTATGCAAACCTACAGCTAAGTGGGCTAAGAGACTGGGACCAGATCGGGAGTCACCATTAGCCAGAGGACCCCAAGACCCTCACCTCTGGGCCCAGATTGAAGCCCCACCACCACCTGGCTGGGCCTGCAGGCTGGAGTAAACCCCGGGAGGTCCTGCCTGGGTGGGAACCAGGAAGCCCAGGGCCTGCCTGCCCATGGGTTACCCCCCTCCTCGTGAACAGTCTGATGGGGGCTTCTCATTTCGCAGCTGCAGCAGCTGCCAGCCCCACCCCCTCCGTCTCATCTGGCTCTATTGTGCTTTGTTTCAGGAAGGCGAGAAAGCAGTGACCACTCGCCCCCACTTCTATTCTGTCAAGGTCACAGGCTTCTCCTCTCCTCCTGGGGCCCGTGCTAGTCATCTCCTATCAGTGTTTCGAGAACAGTCTTCTGAGCTTTCTACAGCTCTGTGAAAGCGGTTGGTTGGGGACCCATCACATGTGGGGTCAGGGAGATGCTCAGAAACTCTTGTTGTCTGTCTGAGGTCAGGTAGGCACTTGAGAGAACCTGGGGGAAATCAAGGACTTACCCACTGTCACCATGGGGACCTGCCTTTTGCAAATGTAACTGGTTTATTAAATGAGCTGGACCGGGCGAGTGGCAAGCAAGAGGCAACTTTATTTTTTCTTCCATCATCACATTCAACCCCCTTCTGTCAGACCCGCCTTCTTTACTGTACCAGATTTCCACTGCTATGTGATTATCACCGACACCAAGTGACTGAAAACAAACACCTCTCACGTGCACACAGTCCTGCGCATTAACAACTTGAGACAGGCCCTGAAGGACAGGTTTTCGGCTGGTGCCACCTGGGGTCCTTCATGCTGTTTTTGTTGTCTTGTGGCTTTGAGGCTCGATGGGGCTTGGATGGTTCTAGATGGCCCGGTTCATACATCTGATGGTTGGTGATAGCTCAGCTAGGCCCCCTCCTGCCCCAGCTTTCCTGCTGCTTCATTCACGTGGACATGATACTGCCTCCATGTTTTCAAGTTTCTGCTGTCACCATTGGGGCTTCCAGCTGCAATACAGGAGATGCAAGAGATGAGGGTTCGATCCCTGGGTGGGGAAGATCCCCTGGAGGAGAGCTTGGCAACCCACTCCAGTATTCTTGCCTGGAGAATCCCATGGACAGAGGAGCCTGGCGGGCTAGAGTTCATGGGGTCGCAAAGGGTTGGACACAACTGAAGCAACTGAGCGTGCATGACTGACTGGCTTTCTCAGTTCCAAATTCCTAGAGGAGAACCTGTGACAGGCTAAATTCAAGTCACGTTTATCCAGGTTTGATCAGCTGTGACCGAGCGGATGTGGTCTCGTGGTTGTTATACGAGTGTCATGTTCTGCTCTGTTTATGGGAGAAATGGAAATTCCCAGGGACACACGTGGCCATGGGTTCCTGGGCTGGACAGACAAGTCCAAGAGGCGTGTGCTGCAGTGAGCACTGTGACCGGGACCAGCCCTGAGCTGACCACTCATGATGGCAGCTCCCACAAACCCATCACGCTGATTAATTCCAAAATCATTGGTGGTTACTTAGAAAACTGCTTCAGCAAAGTGGTGGGAGCAAAAAGCAGATTACGAGTGGCTGAAGGTAAGTTGGAGCGAGGAAGTGGAGGCAACATTTACAGACTGCTTGAATTCATAGAGTCAGAAAGTTAATTGGTAGATGCCAGGAGCTGGTGGGGGTGATGAGGAGCGGGGATGGGCATTTAGTGTTTAATGGGGATGGAATTTCAGTTTCAGAAGGTGAAGAATCAGGAGGTGGGTGATGGTGAGAGATGCACAACAATGTGAATGTACTTAGTGCTACTGAACTGTGCAGTTAAAAATGGTTGAAAAAGTATGCTTTAGATTACATGACTTTTGTTGTTGTTCAGTCGCTCAGTCGTGTCCGACTCTTTGAGACCCCATGGACTGCAGCACACCAGGCTTCCCTGTCCTTCACCATCTCCCAGAGTTTCCTCAGACTCATGTCCATTGATTCGGTGATGCCATCCAGCCATCTCATCCTCTGTCACCCCCTTCTCCTTTTGCCGTCAATCTTTCCCAGCATCAGGATCTTTTCCAGTGAGTCAGCTCTTTGCATCGTGAGGCCAAAGTATTGGAGTGTCCGCCTCAGCATCAGTCCTTCCAGTGAATATTCAGGGTAGATTTCCTTTGCAGGAAATTTCCTTTTCAGAGTTCGATTGCCTTGCAGTCCAAGGGACTCAAAAGTCTTCTCCAGCACCACAATTTGAAAGCAACAATTCTTCACCGCTCGGCCTTCTTTATGCCAACATCCGTACACGGCTACTGGAAAAACTATAGCTTTGACTGTGCAGACCTTTGCTGGCAAAGTGATGTCTCTGTTTTTTAATACACTGTCTAGATTGTCATAGCTTTTGTTCCAGGGAGAAAGTGTCTTTTAATTTTATGGCTGTAGTGACTATCCAGAGTGACTCTGGAGCGCAAGAATGTGACTCTTACCACAGTAAAAAAAATTACAAAAATAACCAAAACATGTCCACACTGCTCGGAATAGACATCTTCACTCATCCAGCACATCTGCGCTTCTGGGGAGAGCTTACCCGTTATTCCCCCTGCTTCACCAACGTGCCCAGGTGGACCTGCCATGTGCTTGCATGGTCCTGCTCCCCGTACCAGTTGGGTGAGGACCCCCCCCCACCCCGGCAACTCCAACTGGGCCCGTTGGAGCCCTGCCGCAGGGCGCAGGACTTTGCACCATGAGTGGGGAAGCAGAGGCCATGCTTGTCAAACTCAGAAGCTTCTACAGGACATTTTTTCTTATCATGTGGACGAGGCCGGTCTTCAGTGAAGGACCACGGAGCTGACCACAGAGAGGAATGGGACTGAGAGATGGAGAGAAGCTTGGCATCCGATGAAGCATAGATTCCTGACATTTCTGAGACCAAACTGCATTCAGGGCTTTCTGTGGCAGCTGTGAGATGCACCATGTGGGTCTCCCTCCCAAAGCAAGGCCACTCCACATGGGTGAGTTGGGCACAGTCAGCCTGCCGCTACCAGCGTCGTCAGAGTCCCCTTCAATTTGTGAGCTGAGAAGCAGCTCTCCCCAGGAAGTTCCTGCCAACTGGAGGGTGGCAGTCCCTTGGGCCTGGCCCTTCCTGCCCACGTGGACCCAGGCATTGCCATCTGAAGCCCCACCTGCAGGATTCTGTTCCCCCACTTCCCTTTCCGAGGTGTCAGAGCCACACTGTGCCTGAGACTGTTTGCTCCCTTTTAAAAAGATCTTTCAAGAGAATTGGGCTTCCCTAATAGCTCAGTTGGTAAAGAAGTCGCCTGCAATGCAGGAGACCCTGGTTCGATTCCTGGATCAGGAAGATCCGCTGGAGAAGAGATAGGCTTCCCACTCCAGTATTCTTGGGCTTCCCTTGTGGCTCAGCTGGTAAAGAATCTGCCTGCAATTCGGAGACCTGGGTTCCATCCCTGGGTTGGGAAGATCCCCTGGAGAAGGAAAAGGCTACCCACTCCAGTATTCTGGCCTGGAGAATTCCACGGACTCTATAGTCCATGGGGTCCCAAAAAGTCGGACACGACTGAGCAATATCCACTTTCACTTTCAAAGGAATTACTTCCCAATATATCTCTTACCCCTGCCCCCGACTGCTTTCAGAAAGGCCTGACACCCCTTCCTATGAATTCAGTGAGCCAATATATTTCCCTTTTCATCTTGGCTAGTTGAGTTGGGCTTCTGACCTCGCAATCAAGAGAACCCTGACGTTCTCTTCTTGACTTACACAAGCAGTATTAAAAACATGAAGTGAGTTCCCCAGCCTCTTGCCCAGGATTCCTGCCCTTCCTGAAATCTTCTCCTCCCACCACCAGAGGACCCAGCTGGCCTGGTTTCCCATTCAAAGAATAGCCCTCCTGACCCCTGGCTTGTCCCTACTGTCTGGCAGAGGCTGGAGTCCAGAGATCTGCTCTATCAGCAAAGGGTCCATTCCTGTGATGTTCAGTGGAAGACAGGAACACAGATTCATGGAAAAACCCACTCCCCTCTCCTCATAGTCACTGATTCTCAGAAGATGGAGGCTCGCCCCTTCCCCTTCCTCCAGGTGAAACAGCAGTGGACGGGCTCAAGAACCCTGCTCATTGGGAGTCCAGTTATGTGTAGGCCTCTAAGGAGGTGGCAGAGTCCGACACTTGCAAGCTTCCAGCTGGGGTCAAGGTTATTAACACCCCACTGTACCCAACATCCAGGTGGTAAGCATCCCTGGTGATGCCAGTATTGGAAACATCCCTGCATGCCTGACTGCTAAAGGGAAAAAGGGCTTCCCCAGTGGCTCAGCACATAAAGAATGCCCCTGCAATGCAGGAGCCACAGGAGACATGGGTTCAGTCCCTGGGTGGGGAAGATCCCTTGGAGATGGAAATGGCAACCCACTCCAGTATTCTTGCCTAAAGAATCCCATGGACAGAGGAGCCTGGCTGGAAAAGAAAGTGGCGGCAATGGGCCCCATAAGTTCTGTCAACTTAACAACAAAAACAAAACAGCCACAACATAAGATTTGAGAGTTATGTTTTATTTGGTGGAAATTTTTAGGATTCCAAGCCCAGGAGACAGCATCTCAAGTGACCCTGAGAAAACTGCTCCGAGGAGGCAAGTGGAGGAACCAGGTTATTTAGAAGTTTTACAACAAAGGGCAGGTAGGCCGAACATCAAGAGATTATTTTTCATTAAAGGAAATAAGATATCCCAAATTAAAGAGTGTAGCACTTTTCTATTACGGGAAGTTGAAAGAGTCTGGGCGCACCGAAATCATTCCTTTCATGTGTATCTCGGCGATTTGGGGTCAGTACATCCTGAGTTCCTCAGTGCTCACCGTTAGGAGTGGCTTAAGCCTGATGGCTGCTGGATCGCAGGTATTGTTCTCTTTCCCAGGTGCCTTCAGGATTCACAGATTCATCTTTGGATGGCTGGAATCGCTGATGACTGTGGTATCTTTGTTTACTGATACAGCAGACGGTAAAGAATCTGCCTGCAATGCAGGAGACCTGGGTTCAATCCCTGGGTTGGGAAGATTCCTTGGAGAAGGAAATGGCAACCTACTCCAGTATTCTTGCCTGGAGAATTCCATAGACAGAGAAGCCTAGTGGGCTGCAGTTCATGGCGTTACAAAGAGTTGGATGCAATTGAGCAACCACACTTTCACTTTTCACTCCATTTCTCAGTTCATTTTCATCAGCCTGCCTTCCAGAACCATTATTGTTGTTCAGTCACTCAATCATGTCCGACTCTTTGCAATCCCATGGACTGCAGCACACCAGGCTTCCCTGTCCTTCACCATCACCTGGAGTTTGCTCAAACTCATGTTCATTTAGTCCATGATGCCATCCAAACCTCTCATCCTCTGTCACCCTCTTCTCCTCCTGCCCTCAATCTTTCCCAGCATCAGGGTCTTTTCCAATGAGTTGACTTTTCCCATCAGGTGGCCAAAGTACTGGAGCTTCAGTTTCAGTCCTTCCAATGAATATTCAAGGTTGATTTCCTTTGGTTCGATCTCTTGCTGTCCAAGGGACTCTCAAGAGTCTTCTCCAGCACCACAATTCAAAAGCATCAATTCCAGAACCATTCTCCA